TAAAAAGTATATATATATATATATATATATATATATATATATATATTTGCATATATGATATAACCAGAATTTAAATATTAAATGCATTAAATATATTCATAGCTGTTGTGGTTTGTATTTCATTACTGATTTGGTTTTTTAAGATAATGTTCCTTAAAAAAATCCATTAAATAAGGTAAAATGATCAAAACTTCTCTTAATAACTGATCACATATTACGTATCAAGTTACAGGGACAAATAGAACAAGTGTCAGACAGATGTCCCACAAACATGTGCATTGAATGTACATATTTGCATGTACCAAAAAGCGTTAGATGGGGTGTTGGGCATATGACCAGTATTCATTAGATGATCAAGTAAAAAAAAAACGTTATAACCGACTCATACGCCTCCTGAATCACCCATGAGTGCTCCCATCAAAACACAAAGGATATGTCATAGACTAATCACGCTACCATGGACTATCACACCGCCACATATGGTGTCACATTATTGATGCCTTATTGATATGTCTATAACCCCCCGCCCCCGCCCCCGTTAGTTAGTAGCTTGATGTACCTTACATCACACACTAAAGGGCCTTTGGCCTAGCGGTGTTGTAGTCTTTGGCCTCCAAGGAGGTCAAAGGTTCAAACCTCGTCAAATATGAGAGTGTGTGGGTTTATTTGTTGCATTTCCGTATATAAATATTATATATTTAAAAAAAACATATAATCACACAAAAACGGGTAATAAATCATATTAATTATGAAAACAAGTCTGAAAGGTAATTGACAACATCAAAAATGTTGACCCATAACCTTAGTAGCTTAATATTTCTTAAAACACAATTAATTGATCGAATCACAATTTGAAACAGTCTAAACGATACGAGTTTACTGGGCCATTATTAGAATGTCAAGTACGAAATGTTAAGAGGGTTAAATTTTATGAATCAAAACTAAACGTAAACTCTAAGGATTTTATGATCAGAACAATTTTCTCTGAACCAAAAAACTCTAGGATTTTAATTGGGGTTCTCTGTATTTGAATTTTTTTATTAACCATGAGTGTCCAGACCAGTTTACACACACATCGATTAATCCCATGAGCCCTTGGCCTTGAAGGAGTAGATTCGCTGACCTCTAAAGAAGATCCTCAAAGGTCAAAGTCTTATTGTCAGTCGAGTTAACTTCAATCTGAATGTTCACAGTCTATTTAATGACATTATTCTGAAATAAAAAAGGCACACCAGTATAACTTTAGTCTGAAATAAATAAAATTTTAGAAAAATTCCCGATTAATGACTCATTTTGATCTAAAAGAACAAGGGTTTTTGTTCGGTGAATAATTAATGTAATATTGATTAAGGGGGTGTTTGGGATTGCTTATTTGAAACAACTTATGTTTTTTCTACAAAAGCACATATCGACTTATTATAAGTTAGAAAGATTTAACTTATTCAAAAACTCTTTGTTACCGGTTTGACATCGGTATAAGTTGTTTATCCAAACACTCAAAAATGCTTATTACAGGTGTCACATCCGAATGAGTTAACAAATTGTTTTTTATAAGCAATCCCAAAACACCCCCTAAGTAATAATTTGTGGAATGTCACAATAAATATTGAACACAAAATGATTCATAATTTTCAAATTTTTATGATAAATTATATTAATTTATTTATTCTCAATTTACAATAAATATTTACATACAACTCTGTTATATGGATACACAGTTAATATTTTATAAATTATTGACATCTTTTATATACGTGTAAGATCCCACACTGGTTGGAAAGAGGGCTGAAGTTATATTATAAGAGATTGGATACTTCATATATTTAGGGACGGACCCAAGTGGTATATCTGGTGGCACGACTACTGCTTCGTTCATGCGTTGTAGTGTAAAAGATTATAGAGGTGTGAAAAGTGACACCGTATATATTTAGAAACTACAAATTTCTCTTAGTAAAGTTGGTTTGCAATGCTTTTCTTTCATCCTACACCTGAGTTCAGATCTTGTTAGTGTCATTTTCTTAGTTTTTAGTTTTTAATTTCAGATTTATTGTGTTTTTTTGAAAAAAAATTGCAATAAAAGACTTGAATACAATACCTCATATGTGAAAATTAACGAACTAACCAATAGATTAGTAATTATTTTATGAAAAATATCACTATATTTGTTTCTTATAGTCAAATGATGCCAGTATTTGAAGAAAATTCTAGGTTCGTCTTGTTGTGAATCTGGATGTGGATAGAGAAGACGATCAGGGGTGCCCAAAAACCTGAACAACTCGATCAACCCAACATAACTCAATGCAAAATAATTCAACTGAAGCAACCCGATGTCTAATCGAGTTGTAAAATCTTCAAACCAAAGGTTTTGGATTGATATTAGGTTACTTTTATTTTAACCCAATTCCAACCAGATTAACTCGATATCATTTTATTTCTTGGATTTAATATGATTATTGAGTCTCTGTTAATATATACATCAGAGAATCACGTACTATCTTCATATACATATATTTTCAATTTGGTCTGATATCTATATAACTCATATGTATATATGTTCAGTAACTTTGAATACACACACATATATACATATATATATGTATATATATATTGAGAAAATTAATTGAATGTGATATACTTAAGATTTAGTAAGTATGGATATGTTGTACCAAATGGAGGATTAAGAAGCATGAATACATTGTACCGGATGGAGGATGATGAAAAAAGAAGTATGAGTAGTATGAAATTTTTATGTACCAAATAATCAACCAACTAATCCTACCAACTCGATTTAGGTTAGGTTCAGGCTTTTAAAACCATAAACATTAGATTAAATTGTTCAAATATTTTCAATCCGGATCAATCCAACCGATAATCACCGCTACAAACGATATCTATTACCATTATTTTGGTAGTTACAATATGAATTGTAAAAATCGTTTGTTTTATATAAAAAGCATACAATTTTCAAGTGTTTCTAAGCACTAAAACCGATTCCAATTAGCGTAGCCTTTTGATCCAACACCGGAACCATTTTTCTGCATGCATCATCATCTTCAAAGCATCTGGTGGTTTTTCTCTAATTCCCTCTGTATCTAATCAACATGAACGTAATTTATTTATAATTTTCATGGGGTATTGTTCAATGTTCGTGAAGATACACGTGGATTTGTTTTGTGAACTAGTCAATCTCCAATTTTTATGGGGTACTATTCTTTTGGGTCGTGATCAGAACTTTGTGATGGATCCGTTCAATTCCGTGATTTTTCGGTTTGATTTTATTTTATGCTTCAGAATTGGTGAATTGAGAAAGCCTGATTACGATTACGCACTGTGTGTTGTGTAATGGCTCATAAGAATGTAGAGAAATTGGCATCGATTGATGCTCAATTGAGGCTTTTAGTCCCTGGAAAAGTTTCCGAAGATGATAAGCTTATCGAGTATGATGCTTTGCTTTTGGACAAGTTTCTCGATATTCTCCAGGATTTACACGGGGAGGTTCTCAAAGAAACAGTATGTTCCCGCCATTCCTTTTCGTGTTTTCTGTTTTTATTTTTATGTGTAATTTCGTTGGCTATTTTCATCCCGATTTTGATGGTTATCACTCATAAAATGTGATTTGAATGAACTGCCAGAAGCCAGATTACAATTGTTGTTAACGCATGAAGATTTGCAGAACCCAAATTTGATATATTTACAGAAATGAAATGTATATCCGTTTGATTGGACATTCCATGTTGATTGCTTATTAAGTGTTTGATGAAAAGTCTCAATGGGCTATTTAGGTGAATGACCTTCTCAAAAACTAAATTTATAGGATTTCTACATCATGCTTATTGATAGTTAAACTCAAACACTCAAAACTGTAAAGAAAAAACAAAAGAACAAAGACTTAGGGTAGAATGGTCATTTTTATTACTCACACGGGTTATTCAACATAACCAACAAAGAACAGTTTAGTTTAATCCATACTCGCAACTTAATATACGCAGACAACTTATTCCATAGAGGGTTTAACAAAAAATAAACCAAACAGCCCCTAAGACCGTTGCTCCTTCAACTGAAATGCTGAAAGCTTACAATAACCAATAAATGTTTTATTCCCTATCTTTATGATATACTCTTTCTCATGACTTTCTAGTCTTGTCACTTTTTCTATGCCATTGCTTTATTATCAACAAATTATTGATGGAAGGACTTGTTCTTTGATGGGTGGTCGGTGGGCAACCTGCAGAAAATCATGAGAATATTTGACGATGGAGGTTAAACAATTTTAATGAGCATATATGAATTATCAAACTCACTTCTAGTGCTTTAAGCACATCATAAGTATTTTTGGTTTGCTTCCATCATGAAAGGTTCTGTTTTGAAATTTCTCATATAACCTCAGATAAATTTACATGCTTATGAGTATAATTTGCAATTGTTTTCAATTTCTATACTTCTATACTATAAGCTTGGCTGCATTATGAATTTTTTTCCCAAGAAACAGCCTGCCACTCAAAAATAGAGGATTTGCCATGTACTAGTTTTAAGTATTTTAGTATATGACCCACATTACGACATTCTGAATGTTAATGATATCAGCCATCCTTGTTTTTCTTCTATTGTTGGTTAATCACACTTTGTGTTTGGACATTGGTATATTCTTCCAGTTCTATGCCCAATCTCGAAAATCCAGATAACAAAGATCAATTGAAGTCATCCCCAACCACATGTAATGTCAGAGCTGTCCAAAGGTCTACCAATGATGTTATTTAATGATACCCTTATCAGATGAGGAGGATTCAAAAAATGTTGATGGGATAGTTGTGAAACCAATCGACAAGGAGAACAAAGTTTCTTGTTCTCAAAATGGAACTAAAACCATAATTTGAGATTCTAATCCTCTAGTGTATTTCTAAGTTTTTACAGAAGCAAGTTGTTTTGAACCAAAACAGACTGTTTTGAACCAGGAATAAGTATGATGAAGGTCATTGAGCTATTCTTTAGAAGATCATGCTCCTAATTGAAAACTCATTTAAGGTCATTCATCCAAAGGACCTTTCAATCTCTCACATAGCTCAAATGAATTTTGGGTTCTTGATTGCTTGAACTTACGGACCATTAACATAGTTGTGTCTCCTCTCTGTGTAGGTTCAAGAATGCCATGAGCTTTCTGCTGAGTATGAATCAAAGCATGACCCCAAGAAGCTGGAGGAACTTGGAAGTGTGCTGACAAGTTTAGATCCTGGTGATTCCATTGTCATTGCAAAGGCTTTCAGTAACATGCTTAACTTGGCCAATCTGGCAGAAGAGGTTCAGATTGCTCATCGCCGGAGGATCAAACTGAAGACGGGTGATTTTGGTGATGAGGCTATGGCAACAACTGAATCTGACATCGAAGAAACTCTCAAACGTCTTGTGCATAAGCTTAAGAAGTCTCCTGAAGAGGTTTTTGATGCACTAAAGAACCAAACAGTTGATTTGGTCTTAACTGCTCATCCAACTCAAGCTGTTCGGAGATCTTTGCTTCAAAAGCATGGAAGGTGTATCCTTTAATTCTTCGTCCGACTTTTACCAAATAGTCAAATTCTTCGTTTCTCTTACTTCCAGTTTTGTTAGAGTCCTATATCCGCTAGACTTGGACCATTTCTCCACAATATCTGTTGGAACCTCCATTCTCTCCTTAAGGGCTCTTTTGGAGGGTAATTTAATGGGGGTTTCACATAATCTCACATGGTATTAGAGCCAAGATCTACCACTCTAGGGACTCGACACTTTGAAACAATCTGCGCTCGTCTAGCATCCATTGGAAGGGGCGTATTGGAGTCCCACATCGGCTAGACTTAGACTATTTCTCCTCTATATACGATGAAATCTCTGCTCAAGGGCTCTGTTGGAGAGTAATCTAACAGGTTCCACATTTTCTCACAAGTTTCTTTGTTCTTCTTAGGATTCGGGACTATCTGGCCGAGTTATATGCCAAAGACATCACTCCTGATGATAAGCAGGAACTGGATGAGGCTTTGCAGAGGGAAGTAAGTATTATCACTTTGATGTGCTCCCTCCATTCTCAACATGATTCTATGTGTTTTTACGTGGTAGTGTTTGACGATTAGTCTAGTGTACTAATGTCAAACTAGTGGAATCCTTCTCGGCTTTTTTCAATTTATCCAATCTAATCTGTAGATTCAAGCTGCTTTCCGCACAGACGAGATTCGTAGAAATCCTCCAACCCCACAAGATGAAATGAGAGCTGGAATGAGCTACTTCCATGAAACAATTTGGAAAGGCGTTCCTAAATTCTTGCGTCGTGTTGACACAGCTCTTAAGAACATCGGGATCAATGAACGTGTTCCATACAATTCCCCTCTTATACAATTCTCTTCGTGGATGGGTGGTGATCGTGATGGTATGTTTCCTACTAAACGTATTTAGCTGCTACTCTATAAGCTTAATTGCAGCAGGCATTGGGAAAAAACTAATTATGGTCGTTGGCAGACCCTGAGAACTAGGAAGGTTCCTTTGGTGGGTAGCTTAATTGATCAACTTATTAAGTTTAATGGGTAGCTTAATTGATCAAGTAATTTAAAAAATAATTTTAACTTAATACTAAGAGATGGGCTTAATATGGTAAGCCTGCCCACCCTATCCTAATGCATTAAGCTATGATTTTTTGGAAAATTACCCTTGCCCTACAATTTTTAATCTCATGTCTTGCTAAAAAATAAATAGTCTATCATCAAATGCGTAAATTTAAAATTTTTAATCAAACAATGAGGCTCGATTGTTTTAAATATATTTAAAGTTATTAAGTATTATATAATGAACTTGTTGAATTTCTATTATTTATGTTATTTTAAATAGTTCATACAAATCTATTTTTTGTCATTCACAGAATTATCAAACAATTAAGTTTCATTTGTAGACAGAAGGTTAAAATGGTAATTTTTGTTGTTTAGACCAATTATTGAGGACAAAAATCAAACAACAAATCCATACAGATTAATGCTTATAGACAGCTTAACAAATACAGAGCTTAATGGTAAAAAATAAACGGCCTCCTAAGGGGCTGTTTGGTTGGTTTTCCATTTAGTCCTGCATGGATAAAGCGGTCCATGGGAAGGGTTTTTCATAGATGGAAGTAGCGTGTTTTTTAATTGGGAGGGGCAAGTGTGGAAAAAACTTGGTTTTCTACATAAAGCTCCTCCCTAAAAGCTTACTGAATAAGCCCCTTTCTATATCATTAAGCCACTACCAAACAATCATCTATAGCTGACTGAATAAGCTGTGAGTCCCATTAAGCTCATTAAGTTGCTATCAGATAGGCCCTATAGTCAGTTTTATAGGTCAGTCAGCTAAAATAGCCTGAACTAAGTGTAAGTGGTTGGTTTTTTTGCATAATATCTCTTTGCAATCGAATGTAGGTAATCCTAGGGTAACTCCTGAGGTGACAAGGGATGTCTGCTTACTTGCTAGAATGATGGTTGCAAACATGTACTTTTCCCAGATAGAGGATCTAATGTTTGAGGTATGCAAATCCTTAACTACTCACTGTCTCCTTACGTTTATGTAGTCAGGGCCGGACCCACATGGAATGATACGATGGCACGGGCCACGACTTCATGATTCTGTCGTAAGGGAAAAAAATACCTCTTGTGTTTTTTAAAATATATGTAGACCGGACTCAAACATGAGTCTCTTTTATGCAAGGATAAGGAACCAACCAACACATATATACTAATATTATGGGGAAAAAATTATATAACTTTTTATAGGCAAATTGTGGCACCACTTGAAAAACTTTCTGGGTCCGCTTCTGTATTTAGTTCAAGATCCTGCTTTATGTACTCTCTTTTGAGCATTTTATTTACTCCTGCATCATTCTTGCTAGTTATCCATGTGGCGATGTAGCGATGAACTTCGATTTCGAGCTGAAGAACTTTATAGATCAGCAAGGAGAGATGTGAAACACTACATAGGTGATTGATGTTAAAAATACGTTTTACTACTGTTATATCAAAATCCAATAGAAGTAATTCACTACCCTGTCTTTGTAGTATGTGATTATAAGTAATAAGCGGCCCTACTCTTTGGGGGTAACGGTCAAGTCTGCCTACATCTCACCCCGACCCAGATCCTAGTGGGATTTACTGGGCCCCTTTTTTTGGTTTGGTTTGGTTTTGATTACAAGTAATTATTCAAAGTTGTTTGAATGTTCGGTCTTTTTCTTCAGAGTTCTGGAAACAGGTTCCTCCCACCGAACCTTACCGTGTTATTCTTGGTGATGTGAGGGACAAGTTATATAATACACGTGAACGCTCCCGTCATCTATTAGCCCATGGGTTTTCTGACATTCCAGAGGAGCATGCTTATACCAGCATTGAACAGGTTTCTCACCCTTTCACCATAAATAAGTTCTTTCCATTTGTGCATATGGGAAAAGTTCATTTAGGGAGAGAACTGTGAGAACTGACTATTCATTAATTTATTCATCATGAATATACCTAAACATTCATGAATATCATGCTTTTCATGGTTCTCAAAACATTTACGGTTTTAAATGAACATCCCCCTGCATATTTGATGCTTTGTGGACCATAATTCAAAAATTCTAAAGCTTTTGCAGTTCTTGGAACCTCTTGAGAACCATCTATTCATAAATTATCCATGATGAACACACCTAAACATTCATGAATATCAAGCTTCTCATGGTTCTCAAAATATTTACGGTTTTCAAATGAACATGTCCCTGCATATTTGATTCTTCCTGGACCATATTTCAAACTTCCTAAATGTTTTGCAGTTCTTGGAACCTCTTGAGCTATGCTACAGATCGCTATGTATGTGTGGTGACCGCGTGATTGCCGATGGAATCCTTCTTGATTTCTTAAGGCAAGTATCCACATTCGGGCTCTCACTTGTGAGACTTGATATACGTCAAGAATCTGAGCGCCACACAGACGTCCTTGATGCCATCACTCAACATTTGGAGATTGGCTCTTATCGCGAATGGTCTGAAGAAAAGCGTCAAGAATGGCTTCTAGAAGAGCTTCGCGGAAAACGTCCTCTTTTTGGTCCCGATCTCCCACAAACTGAGGAAATTGCAGATGTTTTGGATACATTCCATGTGTTAGCGGAACTCCCATCGGACTGTTTTGGTGCTTACATTATCTCCATGGCTACATCCCCTTCTGATGTGCTTGCTGTTGAGTTGCTTCAACGGGAATGCCATGTAAAGCAACCGTTGAGGGTGGTTCCACTTTTTGAGAAACTTGCAGATCTCGATGCGGCTCCTGCTGCCGTGGCCCGTCTTTTCTCGATCGAGTGGTACAGAAACCGGATTGATGGTAAACAAGAAGTTATGGTTGGGTATTCGGATTCAGGAAAGGATGCTGGAAGGCTTTCTGCTGCGTGGCAACTGTACAAGGCTCAAGAAGAGCTTATAAASGTTGCKAAAAAGTWYGGAGTTAAGCTCACCATGTTCCATGGGCGCGGTGGAACCGTCGGGAGAGGGGGTGGACCGACCCATCTGGCTATACTTTCCCAACCACCGGAGACCATTCATGGGTCCCTTCGAGTCACAGTTCAAGGTGAGGTTATAGAACAGTCTTTTGGTGAAGAACATTTGTGTTTTAGAACACTTCAGAGGTTCTGTGCAGCTACCCTTGAGCACGGGATGAATCCCCCTATCTCACCTCGACAGGAATGGCGTCAACTTATGGACAATCTCGCAATCTATGCAACTGAACAGTATCGTTCGATCGTTTTCAAGGAACCACGGTTTGTCGAGTATTTCCGCCTTGTAAGTATTGTATCATGCATTACGATTCCATTTCATTACTGTTGTTAGAGTCCCGTAGCGGCTAGACTTGAACCATTTCTCCACAATATATGTTGGAACCTCACTTCTTTCCTCAAAAGGCTCTTTCTATTCGGGTTCCACATATTCTCATATCGTATCAGAGTTAAAGTCAGTGTCGTCCCAATCTTTTTGGACGCCCTGTTACACCTGTGCTAAAACTATTGATCATCTGAAACGTTTAAAATGACAAAATGAAAAGAATATCGAAGAGTCGTTTTTATTTTTGATCGACAAATTCTGAAATTAAATAGCGCTTTTGATTCTGAAAGATATTTAGGTAGATCTTCGTCAAGGTTGGTTCACGTGTCTATATAAATCAGTCCCGAACACAAGTAAAATTGGGCCCCAAAATTTTGGGGGCCTATTCAAAAACCCATATTACAATGCTAATAGACGGGTCTGGCTAAGGTCTACCACTCAAGGGACTCAACAATCTGGGGCAATCTATACTCGTCTAGTCCCCTTTCGATACTTTGACACAATCTCTGCCCTTCTGCTCTCCGTTGGAGGGGGCGTTTTAGAACCTAAGGGCTCTTTCGGAAAGTAATGCAAAGGGGTTCCACAAATTCTCATAAATGTAACTGGTTTACATACAAATTTGGAGAGCATTTGACCATTTAACATTTTCATTTGATCGAGTCCTGTTCATATATATGTTGTTTCTTCCTCCGTATGTTACAGGCCACACCCGAATTGGAGTACGGGCGGATGAACATTGGGAGCCGCCCGTCCAAACGGAAGCCAAGCGGAGGCATAGAATCGCTCAGAGCAATTCCATGGATCTTTGCCTGGACTCAAACGAGGTTCCATCTCCCCGTTTGGCTCGGCTTTGGTGGTGCATTCAAGAAAGCCATTGAAAAAGACGCCAAGAGTCTTTTAATGCTACAGGAGATGTACAAAACATGGCCTTTCTTCAGGGTCACTATCGATTTGGTCGAAATGGTGTTCGCCAAAGGAGACCCTGGTATCGCTGCTTTATACGACAAACTGCTCGTTTCTAATGATTTGTGGTCTTTCGGAGAATCCTTACGGGCAAACTATGTTGAAACCCGGAATCTCATCCTTCAGGTACGTATCTTGGTTCGGCTTTATAACATTCTAGATGAACGATTAACCGTTCTGCATGACTTAACGAGCTAAGAGCATCTCTAGCAACAATGCTATAATTTTTCTAAATTAGAGTATCAAATTTTAAATTTTGTAAAAAAACATTATATCTAACTCCAAGAGATACTCTATTTTAACAGTTCCATCATTAACTATATTATTAAAATATTCAATACATTTAATAAAATATTATTTTTCTCTCTTAAAGACTTAATTCAATGTCTCTTGTTGGTTAAAAAGAATTAAATATTATTTCTCTCTCTTAAATATGGAGTTTTAGAGATTTCTACACTTTCTTTTTCTATTTTAGCATATGTTATAGCATAGCTGTTAGAGAAAAAAGATATATATTATATGTCCAAAATCTCTATTTCAGCATAGCTGTTGAAGATGCTCTAAGTAGCGGAGTCGGGTACTACATGATATGTTTTTTTGTGTTTTTTGGTTCATAGATTGCTGGACATAAGGATCTTCTTGAGGGCAATCCCTTCTTGAAACAAAGGCTTCGATTGCGTGATTCATACATCACGACTTTGAACGTATGCCAAGCGTACACGCTAAAACGGATTCGTGATCCAAACTATCATGTGAAGTTAAGGCCTCATATCTCTAAAGACGGTCCGGAACCAAGTAAACCGGCGGATGAACTCATCAAACTGAACCCGACAAGCGAGTACGCACCCGGTTTGGAGGACACACTCATCTTGACCATGAAGGGTATTGCTGCCGGAATGCAGAACACCGGTTAACCATTGGACTTCTTTTACCACATTCTTACGAAATTAAGTTTATCGTCTTCTTAACCCTTTCTAATTTCCCGAAAGGCGTTATCCCTCGCTATAGATAGGTTGTTACCGACAGTTCTTGAGTTATTTGGTTGTCGGGTGGTCGCATGCCGGAAAATTATGCGAACCCCTCGTTATCGGCTTCGTTTTTTTATCAATGAAATGGTTCCATCGTTGCTATGAATAAATGTACGGTATCAAACAATCGATGTTACAACCTCAACTGCCATTTTATTTGTACCGTTAGATATTTACAGAATTTGGTACCGTGAAATTTTGACTTCTGATAGGAGTTCTTGTAAATGCAAAATTATGGTTGTAAACTTTCTGCTTACTGGGTAACTGCTTACAGGCAAGAGTCATCACTCTCATTTACCTTAGTGGTTAACATTTCTTGCCATCAAAATGAATTGAATGGTAAACATTTATAACCACGTAAGCGCTTACCGGGTAAGGGTCATTACCCTCTCTTACGGAGTAAAACTCTCGATCCTTGTTTTCTCTCTTACCGGATAAGATTATCGCAAGGACGGACTTACAGTGGTGCCACCCTATTATTTCTCCGTCGAAGGGTAAAAAAATTTAGGTTCGTGAAATGTGCAACCGTATTAGGGGCAGTTTACCAGACACTTATCCAATAAGTGCTTACTAGTAAAGTTTAACATTATCATTTACTTACCGGGTAAGATTTTAGTTCATCAAAACAGTATCATATATATGCAATAATTTATCCGGTAAGCACTTACCATGGTAAGAGTCGTCACCCTTACTTACCGGGTAAGACTTTTGGTCCTTGTCTCGCTATTACCAGATAAGATTCAGATCATTACCATATTCTTCCGATAAGGTAATATGACTTAGTGTTCACTTACCCAAATAAGCGTTTGGTAAACAGTCCCTTGATTTTCTGAATAAATTTATTTTGAAGGTTATAAATACTTAAGTATACTTTGAACTACTTTTAAATCGTTCAATTTATTGATTGAAAGTGTTACCATATTCTATATGACTCTAACGTCAGCTTTTAAATCGATAAAGAAATTTTTTAGATAACTTAAATGTCTTCAATTTAAACCCTTAACTTCAATATCAATTAATTAACTAAAAAATGCACAAAAGAACATATCAATTTTTTTAGATTAATCTGGATATTCAACCCGCTATGCGAGCCGACCAGTCCCAGGAAGACCACATGTTTTGCGAGTAGCCCAGAGTTATCGCATTTGAACCTCCATGACCACAAAAAAAAAATTATTTCTCATTGGATTTGAATCTGGACCTCCAGACACTTTTTACATTTGGAGTTCAAGCTCAAACCAATCAGACACCACCCTTATAGTTACAAAATTTTATCTGTTAAAATATATGCATTTTAAGTATTTCATTTCTTTTGTTTTGTTCTATTATTATACAGTGTAAAAAGATTAATTAATGTCCCATAAATACTCCTTGTAATCGACGATCTGGAATTTGCCTAAAATGTTACAAACATCCTCTCCAAGGACTCATCACGCTCAGAGGTTTTGTCCCACCATCCCGATGATATAAGAAACGAGTCTAATTCCAACTATCAAGCCCCAAATCCAAAACAACAGGCTGACCATCAACTACGAATTCAGCTTAAAATCATGATAGAAGTTGTCAGTAGTCCACAGCTTTGAACTTATAGAAAACTTATAAATCTACTTTTGAATTTATAGGAGATGGATTATTTACAGTTAAATCTTTGGCAATTTTGGATGTCTCGAGGACATGACACCACAAATTATGGGATGATATATTTAGGGGCTGTTTGACAATTGCTGTATGGTTTGGTGCAGAATGATTAAGTGGTCAGAATGATTAAGACACTCTCATGATATAGTGCAAAATGAAATATAATTGTTTAGTAATTGTGTACAATAAAATTATGGCTCTTAATGATTAAGGGAGATCTATGATACAAAATCATTCAGAGAGTTTTAGAACCATTAAGCGGCTGACTTTTTTTTTTTAACAAAAAAGATTAATCTCTTAACGATTCAAAATTTGCCTCTTAATGGAACTATTAAGAGGTAAATCAATAACCCCTTACACAAATATATAATTTTCAACCGTTTGAAATACGAAGTGTGGATCAATTCAAAAGTATTGGTGTGGATGGTAATAAACTCAAAGTTAGAGGACGTATCTTGCAACTTTACTAAATTAGGAGACTAGAATTGACAATTTTGCAAAAATAGAGGCCCGATTTGCAATTTGGGAAATGAATATTACATCAAATACAATCGAACCCTTCTCCGAAGTTTGGCTCGCGGCTAGAGAAGAAAGTCTCGAATCCATAATTTCCCATTCACTTTCTCTCTCTAGAAAACCCTCTTTCTCTCTTTATCTCTCCTAAAAAAGGCAAAAGCCCCCTTAGCGTAAATCTTCCCCTTCCATGGCGAACAGCAATCTCCCTCGCAGAATTATCAAGGTATTAGCACGAACAAGTCGTGATCCTGCTCTTCTGATCCATTTCTCAAGTCATCGATTTCATTATTTTGTTTGTCAGAATATGTATATGTTTGTATGTATGTATTTATCTTGTTTCAGATTATTTCATCGATCATTATATATCTGGAAACCCTAACTTAGATTTTGACTTTGTTGTTATGATCCAGGAAACTCAGCGCTTACTCAGCGAACCAGGTGAACTTTAACTTTATTCCTTAAGTTTTTTCTGAATTATTATAAGGAATCTCATTTGAATTTGTAAATATGTTGGAGAATTGTAATGATTGCATGAGGATTTGGATCAAGAAGATTTATAGGTGTTGTCATTTGGAAGGGCAAGGAAAGATTTGTTTGGTGTTTGTGTTTATTTTTTTGTGATTTTGTTGGTGTAGCTCCGGGGATAAGCGCATCGCCATCGGAAGATAACATGCGGTATTTTAATGTCATGATCCTTGGTCCAACACAGTCTCCTTACGAAGGTATTCAACTTATGGATGGCTTTTTACCTGTACTGGTCTGCATAACAGTAGTTTTAGTTTGTTAACTGTTCCTTTATTGTTTATTTCATTTGAAAAGGGCTTAGGAAAGAATGAGATATTTGTGTACAGCTATGTTTAGGATGTTTAACATTGAAGAAACCTCCTCTCGAACTTAGATATCATATACACATAAAAGTTTTGACAGGTTCTACCTGTTAGTAATTCTGTTACAAGAAAGAGCTATGCTATGATTTTGTGATGTCAGTCCTAGTATATCACTTAGCAAATAGGTGTTATAAGTTCTGATGTACCTTTCAGAACATCTGAAAAGTCAAGGAAACACGAAGTTTTGACCTGTAAACAACACATTTGATTTTATCAAAGTCAAACCTTGGCTTTTTGTTTATCTTTTACTGAGATGGGGTGGGAACTTTGATTCATACATTTGAGCATTGGTATTTTACAGTGTAAGCTGAGTTTTACGTCTATGATGGAAAGAATAGTCGTGCTTCTGTGATTTTTTAACCTCATTAATTCTTTATTTAATTCATTATCATTAGTCACACAGTTACAATGGAGTAGATGTTTATCTCCGCACTTCTTAAATTTTTTTATTGAGTGAATAGCTTGATGTCCATTCTGTATAAAATATCCAGGAGGCCTTGGTTGTTGCTTTTGCTGTTATATACAATTCAGAGAAAGTTCTTATTTTATGCATGCTTTTCTCTCTGGTTGATCAATAGGAGGAGTTTTCAAACTGGAGTTATTTCTGCCAGAAGAATATCCAATGGCTGCTCCCAAGGTACAAGAATATATAATAGTTAGACATGTTAGCAAGATTGTCCAATTCCCCTATGTGCTATATGATTATTCCTGTGATAATGTTTGATGCTCTATTGGGAGGGATATAGCAAACTATTATGATTCCATTGAATGGCTGTGACATTGGCTCCTTCTCTATTGTGAATACTACACTCTGAATCTGTGCATTAAATCGGTAGTTATACCTCCATTGAGGATAAGAATAATTTACCTTGATGATAATATGTAATAAGTTAGTTAACACATTTTGAGGCAGCTGAGAGGATACTGCTCCCAATTATAATTGTGTTCCTTAGTCAAATCATGGCAGAAGCAATCTGGGATACAGTATGTTATGATATGTTTACTTGTATATTCTGTTTATGCAGGACATGTGCTTCCATGAACTAGACAATCTTTCACATGATCTTTGGAAACCTTCTTTGTGTTGTTCTACCATGCCTATTTGTATTGAACTGATTATCATCCTATTCTGTCTCTTTGCTTTATTTCCACGAAGTTATTAGTGTAGGACATACTTTACTTGAACATACAATGCTCGTATGTAAGGCTACCATCATAACTTTTTGACCTCCTGAGTATGCTGGATTGCTGGTCATATGGCTTGTAGTCTGATGTAATATAGATGTGGGCATTCCATGCACTTTAGAGTCTTCTGGGTTAGTTAAATCGTTTAAAAGTATTGTTGTCTGTCTAAAGCAAGTGGATTGAAGAGAATGATTTGACAGTAGCTTGGCATGTATGAAAGAACATGTACAGTACGTGTGTGACTGAGGAGTCTAGACAACTTGTCGTTCTTCTTATTTGTGTGTCTCTATTTCCCATGGAGACCAACTTAGAATTCTGTTTGCTATAGCTTAGGACATGACTTCGTGACACTTAACATCTAATCAATATTGTCTTTATGGTCTACGTTGAAAACGTTCGAAGCTTCTCCTACTGAGTTGCTAGCGTGCTGGTATGTGCTCTCATGATCAAATATTACAATGGAGTAATATCATTTGCTAGGACATGCATTGGTATATAAAATTTCCAACTAGATGCAAAAAATTCAAAGCATCTCTTGTGAACTTTACAATACAAATCCACCCTGTACATATGAAAATTGATATTTTTATCATCAATTGGGGTAACTGATATATTTATTCGATGCTATTTTATCATGTGTTTTCATTCTGAATGTCAAAGTTGACAACAATAGTATGGGAGATGCTAGTATTTTATTTCAAAAGAATCCTTCTTCCTTTGCTGTTTTATGATGTATTTCCATCATAGAGCAACATTTCTTTGCTGAACACCAAAGTCATTATGCTGTTTTTGCAATTGTTGTTAATTAGACAACACAACTAATTTGATATTACAGAGTGTGAGCAGTCAGTCTCCTTCCTCCCTGCACATAAGTCACCTATGGATGTATGTATTCTCTTTACAATCAGAAATGATCTAATGTAAAAAGGTTGCCACAGGCTTTCCTGAAATGTAACAATGTGAGTGTAACAGGTGATGGTAGTGGTGTATTTTGCCTTTTAACAAAATTTTAATCCTTGAACCATGAGATATCATTCAAAGATATCGTATTCCTAAGAGAACACATTTCTTCCCCTCACTCTCACATCTCTCATTATACGAGCCGTTAATCATGCTTCTTTTGCCATTACCTCATCAGAGTTGTGATTGCTTGTACTTCGGACTGATATGAATCTGTGCTGCTTTCGTGAAAGGTTGCAATCACCTATCATTTATATGGAGTCTTAGAGATGAACCCTCGATACAAGTCCTTGATGCGAATATGTTGAATACCTTACTTATAACCATTAAACCCTACTGCATGAATCTGTTAAAATCTGTGTTATTGGGAGAATTATATTAACATAGGAAAGAGGTAATAATGTTATAAGTCTTTTTGATCCAATATTTCTGCTCTCTGATTCTTTGTGTTTTTGGAGAACATCCGAAAAAGCTAATGATTTCAGAAAACTTTTGAATCCCTCCTTGTCTTCTTTTTGTTGTATTTGAGAAAGTAGTTTGTGCTAGCCTGTTAGCGTACAATTGATTTCAGGTGTTATTTGGCTGTTTCGTTGCTTGCATGGGTCCTTAATATGTTGTAAGTTGCATGCATCTAAGCTTGCCTTGGTGCAATGCAATTTAAGGTTTGCATTTATGCTTGTGTTGTATAAATAGTAATGTTTTCCAATAGTTTGACTTGCTTTTTGTATTTTATATGTAACAGGTTCGGTTTCTTACAAAAATTTACCATCCTAACATTGACAAGGTCTGTCCTTACCTACCCACCACTTTTTTTAATGTTACGATTTTCCCATGTTTCTTTGTTTCTTAGTATGAGTTTTATATGCAGCTTGGTAGGATTTGTCTTGATATCCTCAAAGACAAATGGAGCCCTGCTCTTCAGATTCGCACTGTACTCTTGAGGTATAATCGTCCATAATATTATTAGAGCATCTTCAATAATTTCTCCAAAATGGAGAAGCCAAAATTAGAATCTCCCAAAGAAATGCACATTCAACTCTACCGGTTTCTTTCTATTTTGGAGATTTTAACATCAATTATATTAATGAAATATTTAATATCCCAACAAATTATCAAATAAATGTTAATATGAAATGATAACGCATTCACCTTCATTGGTGTAACAATAAAGAACCATTTCTCTCTCTCTTGTGGCCACGGAGGTTCAAACGTGGTGACTCCGGGCTATCTGCAAAGCAGGTGGTCGCCCTGGATTAGTCGGCTCGCATAGTAGGTTGGATATCCAGGTTAATAAAAAAAACCATTTCTCTCTCTTCATTTGATTTTGGATCCTCTTTCTCCCCTACTTTATCCAATTTCGGGAGTAAGTTTTGGAGCATCTGTTAGAGCAAAAAAAAAGGTTAAAAACTCCAAAATATTCATTTATACCATTTTGGAGAATCTGGTGGAGATGCTCTTAGATGGCTGATACCAACAGGTCTGCTTTTACAGAACTTTGAATAGTATACTGGCATGCTAACAGACGGTAGAATGAGGAAATACCATCGTTTAGCAACTGTAAATGTAAATAAAAATTTGGAACTTTTGGTATAAAAGGACGAAGATGGAAATAAATATTTTGCATACATGATCTAAATAACGCTAGTAGTCATTTTCATCTGCTAATAAAAATTGAAGCTTGACTTTTGCATTGTTCAATTGAATTGACTAGCATTCAAGCTCTTCTAAGTGCTCCAAACCCTGATGATCCTCTTTCTGAGAACATAGCAAAGCACTGGAAATCTAATGAAGCTGAAGCTGTTGAAACAGGTAATATGCAATAACAATAAATGATTTTGTTGTTCTTTAGATACTAAACAAGGGCAGGTTCAATTGAGAACCATAAATTTTTTGAGAACCTTGAGAACCAGTTATACATATATACTATCAAAGTATGTATCTATCAACAAGTATATCTATCAAGGGTTGGGTTCCGGTGAGGATGGAAGTTATGGTGAGAAGGGTAAGAAAGGATTTCCACCCTTGGATCAATTCTAATTGAAGATCACCCCTGATGCGGTGCACCAGATCAACTCCCGTTGTATTCATGGGGCGGGGGTGAGATTTAAAGTGATCAAGGGTCCGAATCCCTTCTTACGCTTCTCAGCTTAACTCGTATTTTCACACAATCTTTCATCCATTAATGTATATGTGCGTTGGTGCATATATTCACTAAAATTCATATGGTGTATATCTATCAAGACAAAATCATTTACAAACCCAATAATTCGTACGTGCTTACAAACCTGCTTTCATGTATGTTTCATATATGAAACAACACGTTCGAAAATGCAGTGTTTATACAATATTGTTTCATATGTGACATGTTCAAAACTGATGTGTGTGGAAAAGAATAGTCTTGAATGTTTCACATATGAAACAAACACTGCATTTTCACACGTAACACATGAAAACGGGTTTGTGCAGTTTATTTGGTTTGTAAAAGGAGTATGTATCAATGATATACTGGTTTTCAAAATATTTATGGTGATCATTTGAACCTTCTCCTAATAAACAATCCGTTAAAGAGTTTCTTGGTTTACTATATACGACCTGCAGCAAAGGAATGGACCCGTTTGTATGCGAGTGGTGCGTAACCGAGATGTGGAAGACGAGTGTTGGTCAGAATGAAAGAAATAACAATGTACTTGGTTAGGTCTTGAGATTGAAAACTTGAATGATTCCGCTGAATGAACGATCAATGTTGTTCACTTCCTTCATACCGTTGTATTTTTTTCGATAAGTAACTCTCCATTTCCTAATTTGTTTTGTGAAACATCTATAGCGGTAGTATTATGGGGTAAAAGTAGCAGCAGCATCTTATGTTTTTAGAGACTTCATATCATCTGAATCTCTGTTGTTTTGTTGCACAAAAGAGAATCCATAAATTTGGGTTGTGAAAAATAGGATGATTGAATCCCATTTTAACATGCCCCACCACAATTACTCTTACCTTTTTACTTGTGGTCGACAATGGTTTTTTCCATCAAGTTGTGTCTGTCTGTTTCAAATGATTTATTAGGGGCTGTTTATTTGCTGCTTAATTAGGCTTATTGGTCTATCTGGCTTATTCGCACAGCTCATTTCAGTTGTTTACTTACGGCTTATTCGCACAGAACATGGTTTAATCGCACAGATAGAAATGACGTGTTGTACCCATTCAGCCACAAAATGACACCCCTATTCCTTATTTAAAACACCACCTCCTTCCCATATGAGACACCTTATCGTCGGCCTCTTTATGATTTTTTTTGTTTTGATGTTCAAATAATTAATATTGGGGGTAAATCGGTCATTTTATGTTATTCAGACTGTTGGTTCAGATAAAAAAAAGTAAACACCTATTTAACCAGACAGACAAATTTATCTGGACAGACAAATTTATCTATAGGACTTAATAAATTCTTTGGTAAACATCCCTTAAGTGAGTCTTAATGTTGATGTGTGAGGAAGAAATTAGTAAGTAGAGGTATATTTAGCGCACCCTTGCTAAATAAATGGTCTGGATGATATAAATTACTCCCTTTGTTTCAAAGTAAGTGTTTAAATATTTGTTTTAGTTTGAAGTTGTATATATAACTAGTTTGATATATAAAAGTCAAATCTTGGTTCATATCAACGAGGAGGGTGTATGACAATACAATCAAAAGCAAGATAAAATTCCAAATTGAAAATTGCATTAAAAAATAACTATTTTTAATTTGATTCATATTTTGGATAATTTACTTTTAATTTTTTTATTTTGGTACTTAAAATGTAAAGTTTTAAACATTTAAGTATTTGGGTAACCGGTTGAAGACTAATTTTAGATTAAAAAAATTTCATGTTATTATCACGTCAGCAAATAACCGGTTAATGCTTCAACCGGTTATTCCACATCCTTACAGCTTAACCATTATCTAACCATTATGCTTTCTACCATCGTCATCAGTGCCACATCTATCGGTAAGAACGGGTCCACGTAATCTTCATTATCTCAATTTATTCGCGATAGGTGCAATTTCCAGCTTTGTTACTATCAATTTGGCCATATCTCCATCTAAGCATCCTTATTTCTGCAACTTCCAACTTTCTCTTATAGTTCTTCCTCGTCACCTAATACTCCTATACCTTGTAAAATTATAATCAAAATTTCAATTTTAAAGTCATGTAAGATGATTTTTGATTTTTTTAATAAAAAGGGCCTAGCGGTATCGTAGATTTTGGCCTTATAGGAGGTTAGACATTTAAACCTCACCAAAAATGAGAAGGATGTATGAGTTTATTTGTTGCTTTTGCCGTATATAAATATTATATACTTCCAAAAAAATATGAAAATAAAAACCAAAATTCGACGTCAACTAACACCTACTTTGTCTTTTTTTTTTTCTCCCCGAACGTGTTGTGGGCAAAAGTCTTGTCCCATGAATCAAACACATTTAAGGGGCCATTTGGCAATTGTTGAATTGTAATGTGCTGAATAAATAAGTGGTCAGAATGATTAAGAGACTCTCATGATATAGTGCAAAATGAAATATAATTATTTGGTAATTATTTACAACGAAATTAGGGTGCTGAATGGTTAAGGGAGACTCATGATACAAAATAATTTAGAGGGTTTTAAAACCATTAAGAGACAGACTTTTCTTTTGTCAAACAAGATTCACTTCCTAACAATTCAGAGACTATCTCTTAATGAAACTATTAAAAGGTAAACAAACAACAGATAATAGAAGAGGTAAAATTTAATGACTATAATCAATGTTATCATGAAGTTGGTTATGATTATTGAAATACAAACAATATTCATAAGTAGACAACTTCTTAGAAACTTAGAGGTCGTTTACCAAACGCTTATCTAGGTAAGCTTTTACCAAGTCACACTACCTCACCGGATGAATATGGTAAGAACCAAAAATCTTACCCGGTAAAAGTGAGACAAGGACCAGTAGTCTTACCTGATAAGTGAAGGCGACGATTCTTACCATGGTAAGCGCTTACCGGGTAAATTGTTGCATACAATGTCGTTTTGGTGGACTAAAATCTTACCCGGTAAGTAAATAATAATATTAAATTTTACAGATAAATACTTATCGAATAAGTGTTTAGTAAACAAACTCATTCTAACCGAATCCAACGTTCACTAAAGACAGAAAATTGATACTTTATTTGACAAAAATCTTTTTGGCCACTATAAGCATTGCATGGTCCACAAGTAGAATGACCAAATAAAAAGTTTATGTAGTTTCTCAATTTTTATTTTTTATCTCTTTTTTGTATTATTTATTATTATTAATATATAATAAATTACATAAATTAATAAAAATAAAAAAATTGTATAAAAATAATATTTTGAGGATAGTAAAATGAAAGTTTAAGAAACATAAAATACAATAAATAAAATTTGTAGAATAAATAAAATGTAAAAAGGAGACCTATTTGATGTTTTAGAAAAGAATTAAGTTTTATTTTGATGTTATATTGGTAAAATATAAGTATGTTCCACCATGTTCCATGGGGATAGGGGTGGAACAAGACTGTTCCACTTTGTTCATGTCTAGTCCATATAAAAGTCATGCTAAATATGAGACAGAGATTTTTGTCATGTTTTGCTTTATCTTATCCTGTGTAATTAGCAGAGATTTGATCTCGATCTTTGCACTCTTGATATCATTTTTATAAGCTTTATATAATTGGTATCGATGATTTTTCTTTTTCTTTTTTAGTTTATTATTTTATATAAATTTAATTTGTTCTTTGGTATTATTCAATACGCTAACATACACAAATGTGTATATATATATATATATATATATATCGCCTTTAGGACATACTTGAAAAACACCGTGCCTTGAAAAACACCGTCTCACGAATTCTTTATTTTGAATATTATAATATTAATTATATTGTTTAAATATTTCATATATTTAGGGGTCGTTTACCAAATTCTTACCCAAGTAAACATTTACCAAGTTAGATTATCTTACTGGATAAATATGACAAGGACTAAGAATCTTATCCGGTAAGAACGAGGCAAGGACAAAGAGTCTTACTCAGTAAGTGAAGACAATGACTCTTACCATGATTAACGCTTACCAGGTAAATTGTTGCAAATGACATCATTTTTTTTTACAATAATCTTACCTTGTAAATAAATAATAGTGTTTAATTTTATCGATAAGTGCTTACCGGGTAAGTGTTTGGTAAACGACACCTTAGTAAATGTTAATTTGATATTAATATTGATATAATTATTTTCGAAATTTCATGATATTTTCAAATTTATATTTTATTTAAAAATAAAAACATTATCCTCTTCTTAAAACAACATAAAAACCGTATTATAATATCTTCGAATAAAAAATAAAACGAAACATTAAAATCGAGATATATCTCGCTCAATTACGCGAATAAAGTTTGAATAAAAGACAAACTGTTTTTCTTTTTTTAATAATTAAATAATAAGTCCAAAAATGGAGCTTAAGAGACAAAAACGTATATAAACCTTGATCTAAAAGAATTGGTCAACAAGGGTATTTTGGACATTTCGACGAGACTCATCAATTAATAAAGCAAATTTTATTAATGAATGCTACCTGCCCCATTATTTATTGCCATAAATACTTTATTTTATTTAATAGAAATAAAATAAACCAAGTAATAATAAAATCTGTAGGTTGATCCATCACTACCTCTTACATCTTAAATGCTCCTAAATTCATCATATTTCAACTCAATTATCGATTTACTTCTCTGTTTTTAATTTTTTTTTATTAATTAAGGTTTCATAGCATTTATTGTGAATTTGGTATTTAATTTGTTTTAGAGAGAGGCATACTTAGGATCACGTGAGACCGGCCTGTTTTCATAAGACATGTGAAACAACTTTTTAATACTTGAAACTTCATAGCAAAACGCTCTGAAGATAATAACCTTCACAGTATTTTTGCTGTGAAGGTTCGTTTCTTTTACCTTCACAGCATTTTACTGTGAAGTTTCAAGTATAAAAAAATGGTCTCACGGGTATCATGAAAATAGTCTGGTCTCACGTGAACCCAACTCTAAGCTGTCTGCTTTGTTTTAAATATTTCTATATTGTTAAAATAATCAGTATATTTATAAAACCGAAAATGAAATAAATATTATTTATATATTTTAAATATAGAATTTTAAAGATTTTTCCAAATTTAAAACATATCAGTTGAATAAATTTATAATTATCTTTATTATAATATAGTTGTTAAAGATGCTCTCCTATTTTAATTTATGTAGTTTACATTTCTTGCATCTATCTGCCTGATTTTTGTTCCGTACTACTCGATCTATCTGTCGCACCAACATAAGACAAGCTTCTATTACGTCATGTTTGTGGGCCCACATACCAATCGCACCCTAAAACAACACTCAACTAAAAGGAAGCTTTGGCCCTATGATAGCCGGCTAAAATTCCACAAACCGAAGCTGATAAAAATTATGGTTTAGGGTTCAGGGTTTAGGTTCGGTATATGTAAATAGGACTGTAAACGAACACGAACGGAGGCATGTTCATATTCGTTCGTTTAACTTAACCTAACAAACGAACTAACACGAACGATAAACGAAAATCTTTGTGTTCGTGTTCATTCGTTTAGAAATCAAATGTGTTCGTGTTCGTTTATGTTCGTTCGTTAATATGCTAAGCAAACGAACATAAACGAACAGGCTAAAACGAACATAAATAAATATTATTTGAATTCAAAGTAAATAAATAAAAGACTATATTAAATTTGATATATAAACGAACGTAAACGAACGGTAAATGAACGAACGTAAACGAACAAAAAGAAATTGTTCACGTTCGTTCATTTATTAAATAAACGAACTTTCCGCCAAATATTTCGCTGAACGTTCAGTTCGTTTACAGCCCTATTTGTAAACCCATCTCAAAAAGAAGTGCAAGAATCAATATGAAGTGGGTGGTAACAATGAACCAACCAGAGAGCAATTGTGAGTAAATGAATGAATAGAATTTGTAACAACTGCTAAAAATCAGAGAAAACTACACTAAAAGCTATATATCCCCCCTCTGGTTTTTTATTTCACAGACTAAAGTACTTTGTATGTTGAAGAGAGGGTGAAATTACCACATTCTCCCTCGTCAAATGCTATATGGTTTCAAGCCAAGTGTACAACATTGGGCAGCCGCGGCTGAAGCCCGTCGTTAGCCGTTGAGATCTCCGCTCGTTTTTTAGTCACTGTAATGCCGCAACGATGACTCCAGCACCTCCGGGCTCGGGCATACCATTTCCTTCACGCGGTTGCCCTTTTTGTAGATCTTGATTGTCGGCACGACCCTCACATTCTCGGAGCTACCGATTTCCGGGCTTTCATTCAAATCGACCTTTTCATCAAATAAAAGCATACTAGATTAGCGGAAGTCCGTAAAGATCGTTTTTTTCGTTGTTTTCTTGCATAAACATGTAGTATACTACCTTTGTCTGAAAATAAGGATCCACATTTCTATTTTAGTTTGTCCGAGAATATGTGGAGTGCCAACTTTCCAATTCTACCCTTGTTTATAAGAAGGAAGATTTTATTTCTCCCTCTGTTGTTAAGGGTAGAACTGTCATTTAGTTAATTAAATCGTCTAATAATTACACATTTCTAAATTTCTTTTATTTTGACATGTATTTCGGGAAGGTCGGCCAAACATCACATCTCTCAACAATGGCTCGAGAGAGATTCGAAGAAGTTCCACATACCCTAACATATGCATATGTCGAATCAAAGTATTGTGCAATTAAAACGCCTTAAAGTGCCGTGTTTTTACCTTCAGAAAACTAATAGCAGGATACCGGGCGCAAAGGGTGTCGAAAAACGGAGATATCTTCTTGCACTGAGGATCCGATGACGTTTTGTAAAGAACAACAGAAGCTCCTGCAGTTTTCAGACTAAAATATGAATTGAAAAGTTCACAACGAGCATGACCGAAAGAATACCGAACGAAAACTAACCAGAAGAAGCAACTGCGGCTTTAAACTGGTCAAGACTCGTGATCCGTTCAACTTCTCCACCAAATTTCATACTAGTTACGTCTTCTCCACGAGATTTCTTCAACGCCACTTGAGCATGGAACAACGATTCAGCGATGTCGTTGTTGTTCGGAAATTCTCTCCTCAAAGCCTCGTAATCTTTCACGGATTCAGCCCATCTCTCGAGCTGTGATGCCAAAAAAAAATCCGAATCACACAATTATACCAAACGGGCGATCAAAAATAACTCCGTTACAAGAAAATATGCTAATTTTCTTGTTTCTTTTGATAAAACAAGAATAATGATCGGAAGAACAGTAACGTTTGATACCTTGCTGAATGTAACCGCTCTGCGAAGAAGTGCTTTTGTGTAGTTTGGGTGGATAAGAAGCGCTTGATTGCAATCATCAAGAGATCGCTCAAACTGGCCGAGTTTAAACCAACAAGCAGCTCTATTGCAATGGAGAATTGGGTTCGAAGGGTCGAGCCTAAGCCCTTCCCCGTAAGCCGAACAAGCTTCCGTGAGCCTTTCTGACTTAAAAAGATCGTTGCCACGAGCTCGAGCTCCAGACACCAACCTAATGTTTTGAAGCAAAACTGCAACCTCCACATTTCGAGGATCAATCCGTCCTGATTTCTCGATCGTGCTAATTGCATTCTCAAATCTTTAAAAAAGAACAAACAAAAAAGAATCTTTAGTATCATTTTCAACTCTTCAAGGATGCATTTGGTACACATGACAAGACGGGCGAGAGTGAGGTAGGCGGGTAAAAGACTTGTTCAAGGTTTTAGGGTTTTAATTTGACATGGGTAGTTTAGTAATTTACCAATCTCGTCCCATCCGGTGGGACAATTCAGAGTCTTAATATCGCACCTAACGTCCAGTAGTGTCCCATGTACCAAATGCACCTCAAATGGTTTAAATCGACCAAATACACAGACGCTCACCTTCCTAATGCCATATCAATCTGAGCATGAACGAACAAAAGATATGCCTCAGAAAGCATTCCGAAAAATTTAGTTTGGGAGCACGAAGCGCTACAAGATGCTTCAAATTTAGGCGCATTCAAAAGGTTTAAATCGGCGGCTTCTAGTTGCTTGAGCTTCAAAAATGCTTCTGATTTACATGCAAATAGCTGTCAATTCGATATCAAAACATTCAGTTACGTTATAACGATGATAATGGTTCAATTTACAAAAAAAAGAAGGTTCAAACTTGCTTCGTTTTTTTACCTGAGGACAAGCATCAGCTCCAGATGCAATGGCGGCATCGCTTTCCCGCAAAACACCACTCCAATCTCGGACCCTCCTCAAATCGGTGCATTTCCTTAAGTGCTTCTCCACAGCTTGCAATCTCCGTAACTCGTTTGGATCCGGTTGACAACCGGGGAAAAAAAGGTGCTTTCGGGCATTTTCGACCTGTCCTAAACTGCCGTTGCTTACAGAAATTAGATTCGGGAAAGAATGAAAGAAGTAAGCTCGTAAACGATCTATAGCAAGAAGATCAGAGAAACTAGAGAATTCACACACCAAAAACTTTCATGATGATCAAGATTAAGCATAAGGTTTCGAACTATATGAAAACGAAATTATAAGCAATACAACTTATAAAATCTAATCGAACTATATGAAAACGAAATTATAAGCAATTAAGCATAAGGTTTCGATCTTTAACATGATCATCAAGAACAAAGGCACGGATCATCCATCAAATACATTAGATTAAGAAAATAATTGAACCTTATGCATAAAGTTTCAATCATTAAAATCATGATCATCAAGAACAGCACAGAGTGATCAATGGAATACCATTATACAACGATGCCCGCTTGTAAAAAGTAATCTAACTATAAGCAATTAAGCATAAAGCCTCCATCTTTAACATAACCATCAAGAACAGCACGAGATCATCAATCAAATACCATTGATTTTCGAGAATAATGGAACCATACGCATAATGTTTCAATCTTTAATCATGATCATCAAGAACAGCACAACAACGATACCCACTTGTAAATTCTAATCGAACTATAAGCAATTTAGCAATTAAGCATGAAGTCCAATCTTTAACAAAAATACAAGATCATCAAGAACAGCACCAGATCATCAACCAAATACCCATTACATTACGATCATAACTGAACGCTATGCATATATTTTAAATCTTTAATCATGGTCATCAAGAAAAGCACAATATAATCAACGAAAGACCAATATATAACGACACCCACTTGTAAATTCTAATCGAATTATAAGAAATTACGCATACGTTTTGATCTTTAACACTATCATCAAGAACAGCACCAGATCATCTACCAAATACCATTAGATTATGAAAATAACTGAAATTATGTTTTAATCATGATCATCAAGAACAGCACAAGATAATCAACTGAATACCCATATATATATATATATATATATATATATATATAGGTTCAGGGGAAAACCGCATGACTGGACGGTATGCACACAAGCATACAAGTATTATTAGTAAGTAATTTATCCGGTATGCACATGCAAAAGAAATCAAGAAACAACTTCAATTATTTGTATGCAGGTGTGCATACCGTCCGGTCCAAATGGATGGTTATCAAGGTTGTTCCTCGGGTTCTTTTTTCCTTGGGGTTTCCCTTAACCTCACTCTATGTATGTATATAAACGAGACACAGATCATATTGGTTTCTTTGCTGAATTATAACTATCAATGGGAATAATGGAAGATAAAAGATCAAAGAACAAGAACAAGAACCTACAAGATATCAAGATCACAGATCATATTGGTTTCTTGAAGAAATGATGAAGATGGGATGCAAGATTATAAGTTCTTTTGAAGTCTAACCTGATCAGAAGAGATCCTAATCGATGGTGAACCCTTATATATCCAGAATCCAGTTTAATAGCTTCATAGCATTCTTTCAGGGCGTCGGACAACCGGTTCAGTGACATCAATGCGGCGGAGCGATTGCAGCGATAGGCGGCGTTATTGGGTGAAATTGCTATCGCTCGATCGTAGTAATTCAATGCCTCTACGAAATTTCCCTTTTTGTATTGTTCGTTTCCTAACCTCTTTAACTCCTCCGGATCCAATGATGATCTTCTTGAACTCGATGAACTTAAAACGGTTGAAGGATGTGTTTCACCGCCGGAGACGGTGGATTTGGTGGCGGAACCGCCGCGCATTATGCTGCCGTGGCCGTAATTGCCGGTTCCTAAACCTAACACCTCTGTTTTAGAGCTCCGGTTAGCCATCATACCCGTTTTTACTATCTTTCCCGACGGACAAATATTTCCGGCGGGAAGCACATTGCCAGCCGGAGAAGTGGCTGAACTTCCACCGCCGCCGGAATGAATCGTCGGACACCCACCGATTCCTCCTCGGGAGTCTGACCGCTTTTGACCCGACCTAAATGCGCGAGAGCCACCACCGGCAGAAAATGTCGGTGAACTTTCAACCGACAACTCGCCGGAGTGGTTGTTGACGGTGGCGTTTGAATCTGACTTTCCAGGTACAGTACCAGAACGAGGCCCACTTCCTGTCCGACTGGAAACCGACCCTGACGAACTAGAACTAGTACTAGCGGCGGGTCCGGCCCGTAAAGGAGAAATGGGAGAACTCAAATCGAGTTCTCGGAAGTCAGGTTTATTGGTGTTGTCGGCGGCATCGTCGGTGTCGCAAGTGAGTGAGTTCCGGAGACGATCGGAGAGTTTACCGGTGGAAATGGGTTTATCGGAATCCGCCATTTTTAGACCTAATATTCTTCACTACCAATGATGAGAAAAAGAGAGAGAGAGAGAGAGAAAGAGAGCTAATGTCGTCGGAAATGGGTGCCGGTGCGGTTGAGATTGAAAAACCGCCGGCGGAAGAGAACGGAAAATACCATAGAAGACGAAGATGGAAAAGAGGGGAAAAAGATGGGGATCTCGTGAATTTAAAGGGAGAAGCAAAGAATGAAAGAGAAGGATTTCTAGAGAGAGAGAGAGAGAGAGAGAGATGGTAGTTCTGTTTTGGCTTTTTCTTTTTTTATTTAATTTTACAATAAATAATATTATATTGTTTTATTATAAATATTTTATTACACCTATAAATATAATTTAAAATAGTATTTTAAATAGATAACGAAATAACAAACTCTAACGACTATATTAAACTCTTTTTTAAATAATAAAAATAAAAAAAAATCTTGAATTTTTTAAAAGTAGAAAGAAAATTAGTGTTGGATATACTCTAATTATATTACCAAAAAATAAAATTCACATAATTGGATACTCAGATATGTCTTAATATTTCACCATTGAAAAAAAAGGGAATTAACCAAATTAAGGTACTCGTGTAATACAGTGAGATACATTTTGATTTTAATGTTTTGTTTTATTTTGTCCTTTGTTGATGTTATAATACGGTTTTATGTGATTTTGAGAAAAAAAACAATAGTGTTTTTATTTTTGAATAAAATGTAAATTTGAAGATATTTTTAAATTTTTAAAAATATATATATTGATCTAGGGGTTGTTTAGTAGTTGTTGAATAGTTTGGTGTAAGATGATTGAGTGGTCAGAATGATTAAGAGGTTCATGTTATAATGCAAAATGAAATATAATTGTTTGATTATAGTTTACAATGAAACTAGACGCTGAATGGTTAAGGGAGACTCAAGATACAAAATCATTCAGAGAGTTTTGAAACCATTAAGAGAAAAAAAAATAATCAAACAAAATTCACCTCTTAGCGATTCAAATATTGCCTCTTAATGAAACTATTAAGAGGTAAACAAACAACCCCTTAATATCAAACTAACTATTTGAATGTTCTTGTTTTGTTGTGTAATTCTTTTAATTCAATTTTTTTTATCATAATTTAATTTAAGTTTAATAACAAAGCAAATTTATTTTTGATTTAATAATTATAATTTTTTATAAACCTAAATACACAGTGATTATCTTAATTATATTTTATATTTTGTATATTTAAAATGAAATGTTTATCCAGTATTTGATTATATTTATCTGTAGTTAATTACATGAATTCAAGCATAAGACTTTAATAAGTTGTACATATTCATTACTTACTTGTAATCTTGAATTTTAAATAATATGCATCAATAAACAATATTTTTTTTTTATTTTTTTTCTTTCCTTCCGAGAAGATAAATAAAAAACTTCTTTTCATTTCCTTTTTTTTCTCCTTTTATTTCTTTCTCCTCAAATCGGAGGACAACGCTAAAGCTGCATTAAAGCATGGGTTCATTTCCGTTAAAGCATGAAACTCTTTAAACCACACAGCAAGGATGGTGCCCGATCGGTTTGAGCTTAGACTCCAAAGGTCAAAAGTGTCTGGAGATCCCAACTTCGAATCCAATGAGGAATAAAAATCATCTTATGGCTACGAATGTTCAAATGCGGTGGCTTCGGGATTTCAAGAAAGCGGGTGGTCGTCTTGGGATTAGTCGGCTCCATAGCAGATTGTATATCCAGGTTAATTAAAAAAAACACATAACTCTAAAAACCAACAAACGCAGTTTTTTGTGTAAGGGAAGTCCATTTTCATATCATATTTGAGCTTATCGACCTTAAATGCATAAGACAAAAATCTGTTAATTGAAAGTATGTTACACGTTCGTAAGATTCCAATAATCACCATTTGCCTCTCAAACACCATTGTAATGAACAAATATGCTAACTTTGATCTCGAATGCAACAAAAATAAACTAAAAAATATCTGTCGAGCAAATATCGAACACTGTCGAGTACCATTAAACTGCTATCAAATGACTATCAGGTGTTTATCGAAATAGTGGTCGATATTTATTACAACCTAAGTTTATTACAGTCAAAACGATATTTAACATTAATGTAATAATTTATAATGTCAAACATAACTTTATAAAGATTGAACATGGTTGGATTCACGTGAGACCGGACTGTTTTCGTGAGACCCGTAAGATCGTTTTTTCTACACTTGAAACTTCACAGCAAAACAATGTGAAGGTAAAAAAAAAACCCAAACCTTCACAGTAAAAACAATGTGACGGTTACCTTCACATTGTATTGCCGTGAAGTTTCAAGTGTGAAAAAATGGTCTCACATGTCTCACGAAAACAGGTTGATCTCACGTAAACCCAACTCTTGAAGCATACATACACACACACACACACACACATATATATATATATATATATATACATACATATATATGGAGATGTATCATTGAAACTAAGGTTTCCAATTATTTTAATTGATTTTGTTAATCATTTGATTGATCATCAACATTCTTATAGTGTCTTATAAAAAGACAGTATTTTTATAGAAAACAACCAGATTCAACAAAATAAAACCAGTTGAAGAGAAACTAATCCTCCATCTACAAGACATATAAATAAAAAAGGTCACAACCGAACCCCAACAAAATCTCACAGACACCCAACTAAACCAAAGAAACAAACGGAAAAAACCAACCGATACCAACTAACACGAAAACCAAACAGCTGGATTACAACACCACAACATGCAAGATCCAGAGAAAGCTTTAACACAATGGAACAACCAACGAAAAGAGCCAAATTGAATATCGATTAACAAATATTCACTGAATCACCGCCACGATGACTACTGAACAGCAATTTAGTTTGAGTATTTATTATATTAAAGTATATAATATTTGTTATCCATTATTGCAATGCCATTAAATTTTTATTTAATTTCAAAATTGTGGTTATATTTTGGCTTTAAAGCTTTATAATACTATTTGATATTTATAATTATTCTTTTTTTATTATTATTTTTAAAGGATATTTTATGTATTTGATTAGTAATTCTTAGATAAATTCCACATCAATTTATATATTTATAATCAAATGAACAGTTTCTAAAAGCTACAAACATGTGGCCATGTGGGCATTTATTTTCGAAGGATGTTTGGGATTGTTTATGAAAACTGTTTATTGATTTATTCTGATGTGGTATTGGTAATAAGTAGTTTTTAGTGTTTTTGGATGAGGGAAAATGAAAGATGTTTATACTGGTGTCAAACCGATAATAAAGAGTTTTTTGATAAGTTACTCCCCTTTAATTTATTAAATTCAACCTTTTAGGTTTGAAAATCAATTTACCTTTTTAACCCTCGTAGCCTCCTTCTTTTAACCAAAAACTCTCTCATACGTCTCCTTCCTCAAGCAACCAGTTCATCAAAGGACCTTCGACCATTCCTCATAAATCGAACCAGATTTATGGTTGTGATTTCTTCTCCATCAACAGAAATCGGTCGAGACGTTCACCTACACAAATCGAAATCGAACCTTCGATCGAAACCTTCAACCAGTTCCTACAAAAATCGAAAAGAGTTTAGGGTTCTTTTTTAGGATTACTTTCTGAAAAGGGTTTAGGGTTTTTTTCTCATGTAAGCGACCTTTGAACACAGTTCATCCTTCCTCGTGTCTTTTTTTGTCATTTTACATGTATAAGCAAAAATCGTCAAACACTAAAAAAAAAACTTATCAGCTTATTACATTTTGATACCATCATAAACTAATTCAAACATTTTTTTATAAAACTCCGGTTTAACACCATATAAATTGATAAACACTTTAAAAAAACACAAGTTATTTTAAATAAACAATCTCAACCCCCCTGCAAGTGATCGTATTACCCAAAGGTATATTTTGCATGTTTATTTAATCATTAATTATGATCATTACAAAATATTTACAAATTTATGTTTTTAATTATCATATTATGTTTTCAAATAATAAATATTATCATATTATATTTTAGATATTTGATAACAACTAATTATTGAACTACTTTAAATTTATTGAAACGGTAAAAATATTGGGAAATTGACTTAAATGACCATTCTACACACTTAAATTGGTTTGTTAATCATTTCTTTATCTGGTTTACCTAAATGTCATTACTTTCGCAATATCTAGGTCCGCAATATTAGCTAAAAGACAAAAAAAAAATCAAATTCAACCAGTTTACCGTCACAATTACAGATTTGTGTTGAATTTGAATTTTTTTTGGCCTAAATAAAAGTATTTAATACATGATAATTTATTTTAAGGAATGATGTATAACTGTATCTTCACCAGATTCTCCAAAATAGATATTTTAGACCAATTTTTTGCTCTACCGTGTTTTCTAAAACTTTTCTCAAAATGAAGGAAGTGTGAAAAAATATGATATAAAATTTTGAATTTTTTACTGACTCCGTCATAAAATAAATGTATATATTATTATTTTAATTTGTTCTAAAATAATTATCAACTTTTAAAAACAAATATTTACTTTTTTCATTATATCTTTAATTATGAGTAATAGAAAATATAATAATTACATATTTTAGGGACTGTCTGGTAATTGTTTAATGATTTTGTGCAGAATGATTAAGTGATCAGAATGATTAAGAAGCTCTCATTATATAGTACAAAATGAAATATAATTGTTTGTAAATAAATTAAGGCGCTAAATTGTTAATAGAGACCCATGATACAAAATCATTCAGAGGTCTTAGAACCATTAAGAGACGGACTTTTTTTCATATATCAAACAAGATTTACCTCTTAACTATTCAGAGACTGTCTCTTAGGGGTTGTTTGTTTAACTCTTAATAGTAGTTCCGTTAAGAGATAGTCTCTGAATCGTTACGAGGTACATCTTGTTTGATATATGAAAAATGTTTGTCTCTTAATGGTTCTAAAATCTCTGAATGATTTTGCGTCGTAGGCCTCCCTTAATCATTCAGCACATTAATTTCATTGTAAACAATTATCAAACAACTATATTTTATTTTGCACTGTATTATAATCTCTTAATCATTCTACACTAAACCATTCAACAACTATCAAATAACTTAATAAAATTATTAAAAAATAAACAAACAACCAGA